ACCCCTGTGTGCCTATGCAGAGGGATTATGCCAATGTAGAATAAAGCTTCCTGCTAATTGTAACAGAAGCCGCGCTGACCAACGCTAACCACTCTAATGCTGGAGTCAACCCAAGGTCAGAGCGAGGAGATAGAGCTATCGATCCCAGACAACACAGTGAGGAGGAAACTTCCAGTCCATCTTAGGCTCATCGCAGCGCTCCTCCAGATTCAATCTCCGCTCCAAACGCCATTAGTGGATCTTTGTCAGGGGCTCAGATCTAAATGGCCCCGGTGAAGCCAAATGTTTTTAAGAGAGAGTGATTCTGAGGAACACACACTATATCTCTTCCTCTTTTATTGTCCGTGATAAGGTTTCAGAGCAAAAAGCTTCTACAGAGAAATGTAATGTTTGCTGGTTGCACTACAGTTGACCCTGCTTTTGCTGTGTGATATCAAAGTGCACTATTTTCTTAAAGGATAAGTGGTTTATTACAGCCTTGGCCTTATTTTTAAATGTTTGGGATACAAATAATATGGAGATTGGATTTAAAATTGAACTGCTAACATCTGGTAAACGGACAGTCATGTGATAGTTTAGCTACATTTATTTGGAAGAGAAAACAAAAGCAAACTGTACAATGATGCACAACTATCCACTGTAAACAGTTTTACAGTTGTTGCAGGTCCTGATTAGCAGAGATGGGGTCGTTACTAAAAAAAAGTAATATATTACATATTACATATTACTTTAAAAAAAAGTAATATATTACACTACTTCGTTACTCTCTACATAAAGTAACTCGTTACTTTACTCGCAGGGCCGGCCCGCCCCTCCCTACAGGCAGATCACGCAGACTGCTAAAGTTTCAAATGTTCTCTTTAGTTCAGTTTCCATTGTCGCATAAGACTGATCCAGATAGCTCTGACCATGGCTGTCTTCTGTCTCCTGCTATCTGTATTTTGCGCAGTATATCTCTGAACGATGCGATGGTGATTCCACTGTGCAAATGGGCAACATTACCTCTACTATGAAGGATGCTACAAGTCTGTCCATCTCTGCTTTGGTTACCGGTCCTCCAAATTCTAATTTGTGCCGCTTCAGATTCGGCGGCAGCGACTCACAACATCCTCAGTCTGGGTTCGGGGGTCCTTAGCTATTAGCTTCACCTTAGCATGTGTTCTTTGCAGGTGTTTGTTGAGGTTTGACGTGGTGTTTACAGCAGTGGATAACAGCTTCTGGCCTAGACACAGTTTGCACCTCACCGTCACATTCCTGTCTATTCTTCGGACGAACTCAAAATAATGGGCATACCTCCACCCCTCGAAAGTTATCGCTGACTCAGTCATGTTTATGCAGAACTGCACGCTGAGATGTGGACGTGCAAGTCGCGCAGATTACGTACATATAAACCTGCGGCGGAAACCCCTCTTGTCTGTCAGTGTGATTATGACTGATTTTATAAAAGTAACGAAGTAACGCGTGTCGGGCAATGTTAGTAACTGTAGTGTGATTACTCAATTATAAAAGTAACGCGTTACACTACTCCGTTACCGACAAAAGTAATATTATTACAGTAACGCGCTACACCCAACTCTGCTGATTAGCTTCTAACTTGTCTATGTGTACTATATGTTAATCAGCTAAAAAGACATCAACGTTTGATTCATGTTTGCAACGCTTTTAAGTTAAGGGGAAAGCATGGTAAAGTTAGTTTGTATTTGACTTTTTTTTATTCTTTCCGATATTTAACCTTGAGAGATTAAGTGCTTGATCAGAGCAAAAACGTTCAGCTGTATCATTTATGATAATAAGAACTAAACTAAAATCAAAGTTGTAGCAAGCTAACCTCCATTAAAAAATAGATATTATAAACCCAGAGAATATTCATGGTAAGGTGAATATAAAATATAAAAACTTATTACAGAACTGTCCCCCAATGTCTTTAAGTGGGTCTGTCACAAATACAAATACACATAATAATGAGGCCCTAGCATTTGCCTTTTTTTATAACTCACAAAACAACATTGTGTAAAACTCACACACCCACACTGAATCTGTCTTCACTTCACCAACGTTAACACGTCTCAGCGCTGGCTGTTTTACTCTGAAGACAGCAGCCCTCAAAGTTCAAATTATCTCAACTTTGACCATGATTGCCCTTAAGTGACCTTTCAAATCACAACCAATGAGATAGCAGCTGTGTGAAGAAGAACAAGCAAGCAGGGGAGGTTAGAAAATAAACTCACAATATGTCATTTCAAGGCCCTACGCACTACCTCACATTGAGCTTGGACTCTTATCATGTGAAGGCAGACTTACAGAGCAATTAGTGGTCAGTGAGCAATAAACGCAATGCTAGCAGGTTAGCACAATAGCATTAGGGCTGGCTCAGCTACAGGGGTGTGTCCAGGGGGTGGCCTGAGGTAGCAAGACCCTTCAATTATCCTGTGTGTGTGTGTGTGTGTGTGTGTGTGTGTGTGTGTGTGTGTGTGTGTGTGTGTGTGTGTGCGTGCGTGCGTGCGTGTGTGCGTGCGTGCATTTTTGCACATTTTTATCATACAAACAACATTTTTCTTACTATAATAGACAAAGGTTTTAATAAACTAGAGTTATCCCATAAAATACAAAAAGATACGGTTATAATTGATGCACTGGTGTTAGTTTTAAAGTCATTTTCCACCTTTTTTGTATTTATTTCTGTTTGAGCAACCAAAACAAAGACACATTTCCTTTGTCAGTGTGTGTACTCGGGGTGTGTGCTGTTTGTCATGAAGTGGTGTGAACATATCATTAACTGCAGCCTAAAGTGACCCGGAGTCAGAGGTCAATTGACAGAGCTGACAGTGATGTCAAGTGGCTCCACAGCGAGTCCCATCTGGCCGAGCAGAAGACGTGACAGTCCCGTATCACAGTCACTTCACCTGGTGTGACACACAAACACACACACACACACACACACAGACAGACAAGCTGCGCATGCTGGCAGACAGGATAATCTACAGAGGTTTTTCTAGGACCTTCAGATTTAGACTCTGCTTTGACATGACGGTGGGTTTTTTATTATCTGTGTGCGTGGTCACATCAATGAAAAACACCATCCTGGGTGGAAGTGTATCCTTTGGCTCCATCTCTGTTATAGGTTAAATTGTTGCTGACATGCCAAAGAGGCTCACAGAGCTGTGTCAATGCCACCATTTAGCCTCAGAAATAAACTGTAAGCTGGGTAACAGCATGTCACACAGTCCAGATTTGGATGCATTTTTAATCGGGCATATTTGGAGCCATTTATGGGTTAGGGTTAATGTAGTTTCACAACGCTAAATAGGATAAAGTCACACGAAACCCATATATGTGAGATCTGTGGTCTATTTCCTGTCTATAGTTCAAATCATCCTCAAGCAAGTTTGAGTGACTTAAACACAGTCCAGATTTGGATGCCTTTTAATCTTCCATATTTGGAGCCGTTTGTGGGTCTATAGGTTCATGCAGTTTCGCTATGACCAATTAGATATCTGAAGTACTAGATATCTGAAGTACTAGATATCTGAAGTACTAGATATCTGAAGTACTAGGTCCTTTTCCTTTTGTTTACTTCACCAAATATCCCGAAGCAGTTTGAGTGACTTGAACACAGTCCAGATTTGGACACATTTTTAATCCAGTATACTTGGAGCTGTTTGGGGTTCATGCAGTTTCACTACGTCCAATTAGATAAACCAAAACGAAGTCCGTATCTCAGACCCTTGGTCCGTTCCTTTTCCTTAATTTCCCTTAATCATCCCCAAGCTGTTTGAGAGACTTGAAACCTGTACAAATGTGGATGTATTTTTTAATCTTGCATATTTGGAGGCGTCTTGAACATGTTCTCTTAGATAAAGCCAAACGAAGCCAATATATCTATGCTGGAGTTTCCTCTCCTTTCTTTTACCAAATGATCCTCATACAGTTTGAGTGACTCCAATCTGCTTCCTCAGAATCTCCCTCATGTGCTCTGAGAACTCACACATTTTCAGGGAATAGGCTGAGAACAAAGCCACATGACAACAGTAACATCTGGCTCCGGCTCCAGAGATGATTACTCTCTGCTCTGTGAGAACTCATCCTCCAAGGCCTCTCTCGCTCTCTTCCTACTGTACACAAACAGCAAGCACACGCATGCACACATGCACACATGCACAGATTGCCATAGCCAGATGGCAGTTTCTTTGACTGTCCTCTAAACCCTTTGTGGAATAGCTGTGGATATGTTGTGGTATGCAAATAAGACAAATATTCATTTCTTCGAGAGGAAGCTGGAGGTTTGTGGCTCACTGACTTAGATTTCAAAGGTTTAACACTTTGTTCTTGTGCAAAAATCCAGACTCAGTGATAATCAATTTAAATGAGAAGGAGATGTAGTCACTCATTTTAAGTCTGTTGAACTTAATATCTGACTTAAGTATTCTTTTTCTAAGAAACAAGCATTTCGGCATGGCCGGTTCTAGTGGGGAGCCAAGTGCCCCTGTAACAATGAACTTTGACCCCCCTGTTGCCCCCCTCCAAAAGAGGAATTTATAATGATAATACAATTTTAGGTAGCGTTGTGCTGTCACTAGCCAAAGTGAGCTGAAATGCATTTTGTTTATCCGTAATACAATTCTAACTACTGAAACAATGTATGTTAGAAAACTGTTTATTTGTCCGCTGACTGACTAAAAATGTTAAAATGCTGAACACTGTCTTTGTCTCTTTTGTCCCCCATTAAATGAGCCCCTCTCATAAAACAATTGGCCCCACCATGGTCTTATTGAAAGTTGCATTGGATAAAAGCGTCAGCCAAATGAAAATGTAATGTAATGCCCCCCCAGTAGAATCGGTCTAGAACCGCCACTGCATTTCGGCCAGAATAATACTTTAATTGAAATGCTGTATAAATATTTCCTTGACTTAAAATAACCTTAAGTGGAATAGAATGTGGACACTTAATGGTAGATTTAATGACTTTGCTGAAATTGATTCCTTGCGTAATGTATGCGTACCTGTACCAGTCCAGTCCCCGTGCGTAATGCCGATCAAAGAAGTGCGGCTCCGACCCAAGAGCACGGATGTCCGGGTGGAGCCGCAGAAACTCCAGCAGAGCCCTCGTGCCCCCCTTTTTAACCCCTATGATCAGAGCCTGGGGTAACCTCCGAGTAGCTGTCCATTCCTTCCCCGAGCTGTTCGCCTCCAGCCCGGGGTGACCGCTGAACGCGTCCTCGCCAAGCGCGGTGGTGACCTCCCTCTCGACACTGGTTCCGTTTCTCTCGTACTGCCATCCTGACACGAGGAACTCGCGCGTGGGTGGCTTGATGTCAGTGTTTTCTGACAGCTCCGACTCGCAGCAGCCGGTGAGGAGGTAAACCAGGGAGAAGCAGAGAATGCTCAGAGAGGACGCGATGGTGAGCCGATGGAAGAGCCTCCGCAGGTCCGAGTGGGGGTAATGGTGATGGTGATGGTGGTAGTGAAAAGCTGCCATCCCTCAGAGATCCATGGGAGATAAGGTGCCATTCTACCACAGGTTCAGCTCACATCTCTGCATACTCTAACGCCGCACGGAGCTAACTCTTGGAGTGCGCTCCGCTGCCCTCCTCCTCCTTCATGGAGCGCGTCATGTGGAGCGCATTGAACCCCCTAAACTTAACAGCCTGAGTAAATCCAAACTAGTTTTCCAAACACTCAACCTATCCAAACTCTAATGTCCAACCCGGGCTGTTGCGGAGCTTTCTCTCTGTTTCAACTCCAAGGGATTACTGTGCGCCTCTCCACCACGGCTCATCTCACAGGGATTCGCGTCATGGGATCTCTCTCTCTCTCCTCTTGTCTCGCTCTTTCTCTCTCCGCTCACTTCTCTTCTCGTCTCGCTCGAGCCGTCTGCGCGCGAGCCGCGGCGAGCTACGCGTCGCGCTCGTCTGCTCACGCTTACAACACACCAAAAAACCACACACAACCCCACACACACACACACACACACACAACACAACACACACACACACACAACCACACACACACACAAACACACAAACAACACAAATCACATCTCTCTCTAACTTCCTCCTCTGAGCGTCTCTTTCTCCTCTCATCTCTCATCTCTCATCTCTCTCTCTCTCTCTCTCTCTCTCTCTCTCTCTCTCTCTCTCTCTCCGTAGGTACCTGTGATCTGAGGGTCATGGCCTGAGGCGCTATCATTTCAGTATTATTTATTGGGGTGAACTGGGATTGGATGGATCCAGTGCGCAGAAGATGGCCATGCCCCAAATCTCATATGTGCCATTATCACTCTCTTATAATATGATTGATTTGGAGTCTATGTTTTTGTGCCATATCGTGTAATTGCTCATATAGTCCCACACACTCTTGGATGAGTGGATCCAGGAGCATAAGCAGGTAAATAAGTATTGGTTATTTGTGCCATTTGGAACTCGGTTTATCACACTCCGAGCTTACAATTTGCACGCTAAGACTGATCACATAATTGGCTTAGGGGTCAGACTGTATAAGACTGTGTAGAGCAGCTGCCAATAGCTGAGCCTGACCCCAGAGGACAGTCTGTGTGAACCAACATGCAGAAATGTCTCCAAATCTTACAATCGAATCAATGATTCCAGTGGTCCAGATCATATATCCACCAAGTTTGAAAAAGAAGACTTAACACTTAAATGGTTTCTGTATCCTGTGGGATACAGTCATTTAACGGCAATAACGGTATAATATTTATGTTCTTGAGTGAAATATGGGTGTAATGGTGAGATAATGGTGTAATATGGGTGTAATATAGATGGGTTTAATAATATAGAAAATGTATACCCTAAACGTGCAATGTATATCTCAGGAGATACAGAGTGAAAGCGAGAAAATAACAATCGCTTTCTCAAGAAAAATATTGAACTGTGTTATTTTAGCCTAGATACATTAGAAAATAGCAACTAATATGTTCCAAATTATTCATACTACTGTCTCTTGCTAGTAGGAAGCCGCCATATACGCCATCATATCCGATGATAAGTTGTTTCCTGTCTCGATACAAGTAGAGGACAATCAAATAACACAAAGATTGATGTTGTTGTTGAAATGGATGGCAGATCTCAGTGCAGGACAATGCAGGGGTTTTATGGCACGGGTCACATCTGCTGTGGGATAATGACAGGGGTAAGCCAAATGGAACATGAAGTATTTGCTTATTTGTGTGTGTGACTGAATGTGTGTGTGTAAGTGCACGTTTAGCTGGACGGGGGAACTTATGAGTCTCCTATGAGTTATTATCCGTAGCTCCACACTCTGCAATAATGAAAGCCACATTTCAGAGCTCACTAACAGGAGACAGCAACAGCACACTCGCCTCTGCTAATTCATGTGATAAAGCATCATGAAGAGAAACCATCTCTTCTTCAAAACAGTATTTCAGCACATTGCTTCTATCATTGTGTGGCAGTGAATTACTTAATTTGTATGTTGTTTTATTTTAATTGTGTTAAGTTTAGTTTCAGAGAGCTCAGTAAACTTACTAAATATGTAAATACACCCTCCAAAGAAGTGTGACAAAAAATAATATGTTCTTGAACTTTCTCAATCAATTGATAGAAATAAGATAGAATTGCTATCAAAACTGAATACAGCTATATAATACACCATTTTCCGATCATTTCTTTAAATTAAAAAAGCAAATTTTACTTCATTATATGCTGTGATAAATCATGATACCACTGTTTCAGATATTTTGGAAATATTTTAATTCAAATTTGACCCATTAGGTAAATTCATGTTGATACTGCTAATATTGGTAATAATGAGTAAACAAAGTATAAGCCAAATATAAATATGACATAATAAGGCTTGTGAACTTTACCTTCAATGATAGATGTCCAAACTAACACTGCAGTGAAATCACTATGCAGTGCTTAACTGACCCTGAAAAAATCGTTACATGCCTCAATTACTCAATCAAACTCCAAAGTCACGCTTAAGTATCCCTTTATTTCACCATGACAAACATTTATCGAGTGGACTAGGACCAAATATATACACAGACATAATAAATCTTTCTTTCTCATTATTTCCTGTTTGTTTTATTCTCCAACGTCTCTCCATGGATCATGAGGCAAGGTCACATCAGGTGAGGTGGAGGGTCTTTTGTCTGCAGTCGCCCCGCAGATTGTTCCGTGATGAAGTGGTCGTCTATTAAAGCGTGACCCGGGGTCAGGGCCAGAGCCCAGGCAGTGATTCATTATCTGACAAAGGGCCGGAGCAAGCTGATGAATACACTCCTGCATCACAATGTATGCAATGAGGAGGTTTTAGAAATGTGTTTATGTTTGAACAGAATATTAAACTCAACATAACTGAGTCATTTGCTTACCGTTTGATAATGTTTTGAATGTCTGGGACTTTACATTTTTGGAGGCTTCTCTCTTTTAAAGAGGACATATTGTGTTCATTTTAAGAGTTCATATTTGTATTTTGTGCCTCTACTGTGACATGATTTCATTTATATTTGAAGCTATTAAAAACCTCCACTTAAAAAACAAAAGCAAATCTTCAATCTTCAATTTATTAGAGTGAAAAGAGATAAAATCACATTAAGATCATTTAAGGCCATTTGCCCACCCCTATATTCAAAACATTTGTAGGTCTTACAAATAATGTGGTTAAAAAAGACATATTATGCCCATTTTCAGGTTTCTAATTGTATTGTGTGCCTCTACTGGCACTACTGCTTCAATGTTCAAAAAGCTCTTTATCTTTCTCATACTGCCTGTGCTGCAGCACCTCTTTTCACCCTCTGTCTGAAACCAGAGCCCAGTCTGCTCTGATTGGTTAGCTGGCCAGCTCTGATTGGTCAACTGCTTAGACATGTGTCGGAAATGTTTCACCCCTTACGTACAATGTGTTGCAGCCAGGGGCGTCGCCTGGACCTGAAAACATTCGGGGCTTAGCCCACAGTGGCGGCGGCACTACAGTGGAATATTTTACTTCAACACTCCCCACACGCACACACACAATACACCCGCGACTGTTACAATGAAGGCTCGATAATCAGCTCACGGCATATAGGCAGGGGTAAAGTGCTATTTTTTATGAGTGGGGGGCGGACCTCACCTCCTCTAGGGGGGTCCGGGGGCAAGCTCCCCCGAGAAGATTTTTTTTAAAATATTGAAGTTAAATGCATCAATCTGGTGCACTTTGAGAGCAAAATGAAGAGATCTATGGATACCTCTCTCAACACCCATATGAAGCAGAACTGTAAACAGATGTACTTTTTCTTTATGGATATTTTACTAATCACTCCTCTTTTAAACTCTATTCTTGTTTTACTGCCATATAGTATTTCATAACTGTTTTTCCTTTATTCTCTTTTTTTTAATAACTATAATGATCATATGAAGGTGTGCCGAGGTGTGCCGCGGAAATAATCTTTTGAATAATTTGTGACCAAACCTTTTGAGACCCACTGAGATAACTTAGACTAAAGTTAAGTATCTAAACACTCAGAGAGTCCTTTAGCTCACCTGAGTCTCTCAGTCTGAGAGGAGAGGACTCTCCTCCAGCTTCTTGTGGAAACATCTCCTTATGTCCGTTAGCGCAGCTAGCTAACCAGATGCTAACAACACGGTCCCTGCTAGCACCGGTCCCTCTATCTCCCTCTCTCTCTCTCCCTCTCTCCCTCTCTCCCTCCCTCTCTCTCCTCTCTCCCTCTCTCTATCACACTAAATGCGCTATTGCCACACACACACAGAGCCGAGCTTGAATGACACAAGCACACGTTTATTTCCATGCAACTCTCTGATTGGTCGGGTGTCATGCCTCTGTTGCATTCACTGAACACGGGAAATTACAGTCCTACCGTCCTCTCTAGTGTCACGATGAGGTTCACGTAAAGCACGGTTAATGTATTATATTATTGAGGGAGAATTGTCCGGGGCTACAGAAAAAACATTCGGGGCTAATGCCCCGGATGCCCAGGCCAGGCGACGCCACTGGTTGCAGTGATGTCATCATGTTACAGAGGTAAACAAAGGAGTCCCACAGAGGAGTTTAAGACAGGGTGTGGAGGAGAGACTCCCCTTTGCTGACAATTTACACGCACAAAAACCTATATAACACACTACAGGAAAGGGAACCCCCCACAAGCTGAATAGGGCCTCTTTAATGCTCTGGGATAACCTTTCGAATGAACACATATGTCATCAACCCTGCACCTATGCATCTCTTACAGAGAGTTTGCATGCTTGGCTTATCCCTCCCCTGAGTGACAGTCTAATTAGAGGTAAAGTAATGGTGTATGTAATCAATGCTAAATTACAGCCATAAGTCACTCAGTGGAGAGCCTCATACCTTGAAGCCAATCACAGATGCAAACTAATGAAGCACACTCACTGACCGCTCACCATCCATTTCGAACATAAAGACCTGTATTACCTTCTCTCAGCACCACAGGCCATTCCAATATGTTCTTTTAGGAGCTCTTAAAGAGTCAGTTCA